GCTTTCCTAACAGCCATAACTACTGTTGCCAACAAATGCAAGGAGCATATAAAATGTGTACAGTCATGGCCACTGTAATCCCTGTGTGTGACTAGCATCTAATTTCTCCTTTCAATATCACCCCTGAATCAATCATTGAGGTCATGAGAATAATGGAAATGATAATCAACTGAAGAACCTCTTGAGTATTAAACAAATTCTCCTTGCCAGTACATTAGGAAATGTATAGAGAACAGTATGGAGAATATGCATACTGATGTTAGGGTGTAAAGGGCTACAGACATCATGCAATTAGTTTTATATATGTAGAGTATTGCTTGAATATATGATTAGGCTAAGTGCAAGTGCCTGATAAACACCTTGCAAACAGCTTATTTCTAGCAGCTTTGAAAGGTTCTGTATCCCCTCTTTCAAAGAAAAGTATTTTCCATGAAAATTTAAACGTTAAAGACATATTTGCTACAAACAACAGGGTTTTTCCATTGGAAGTGTTTCATACCATCAGATTCTTATCACAATTTTTTGTTACATTTGAAAGCATCAGAATATTTTAATCATTACAACATAATGAAATCTCCCATTTTAACCTTTTAAGTCCTATTAGTTACCCTAGACAGAATTTCTCACTCCAGTAAAGTGTTCTTATGTAGAATGAAGTTTCAAACTCATTAAAATTAAGTTGACTTCATGATTCAGATCTTAATTTAAGAAATGTGCAATATTTCTTTACAAAGATGAAAAGGGAATGCCATTTTTCAATTTTTAAAATAGCACATGCCAAAAGTTAAAGAGGAATTAAAAAAGACTACTAAAATATGTCATAATTAAGTATTCACTGAGATTTTAATCATTAGCTGGTACACAGAAATATAAAAGAGGCTTTGTGAAAAGAAATAGAAAAAAACCTGAAAAGAATAGAGGAAATTCTCCGAAAAAGGCTTTTAAACATTGGAATACAGAAACTTGGATTAAAATTAAACCCTGGGTTAACACTAATATGACTTTGAACAACCGGGCACAGAGCTTAGCATTTCAGAGCCGCGCGGGTTTTTCCGTCAATGAATGCAGGCGCGTGACTGGCACCTCTTCGTTAAAAAAATAATAATAATAAAAAATTAAATTAAATAAATATGAAAAATTAAACGACTGTGAAAGACTATGATTACAGGGATTTGTAAAGTGAAAATAAATAAAAATAAATACTCAAAGATGACGTCTTTATGTGTCGAAACATCTTCAGTTCCTTGATAGAAGCTCGTGGGAAAATGTTAGGAAGGTTTCGAAAATTGCAAAAATTGTTCTTGTTCCATGCACCGGGCACTCGCGTATTATTTCTGTATCTATCTTGTTCATGAGTTTATGAGTGAGTTTATCGCTAACGTTATTGACTTGGCGAAAAAAAAGATTGGATCATTTCGAAAAATATTAAGTGACTATTATGGACTTCCAAAGACAGCAAACTCGAACAAGTGGTAACTCTTTCACCATTTACGTCGTAATCTTCTGATCATTTTTTTTCAACAGAAAAAAACGAAGTCTAGAATTTGAGTAAATTTCACTCCTATATATTTCAGTTGCAGTTAAAGCGCAAACAAAACGGTTTTCGAAAAGAAAAATTCCGGGCGAAATAACTGTGTTCACAGGAAATGAAATTGTAATTTAGTCTTCAGTTCAATTGAAGATAAGGGTGGAAACTGGAAACATTTTACTTGATGCTTCAGGCTACTAACGGTCAAGTGTGGATTGTATAGACCATAGTACCATCATTGTTAGTGACTTGTTTAACCCTTGTTTAATTAATTTTCCACTGCCCTCCGTACAGGAATCTTGGCATTTTGTTGGAGGCTGCGGCCAGGTTAGGAGAGGAAACGCAATCTCTTAGACGCTTTTCAACGGTTGAACTTTCAAATTCGAAACGAAATTTGTTATCTCCAGTACAGAGCTTTGACACTTAACTGCTGCCTCACTGCTGTTGCAGAGCTCTTTCACGGGAAGGGAAAATGAACGGATCTATCTCCTTGAAAAGCAGCAAAGAAAGGGGAACCAGAGATTAATCGCTTCCGAAAAAATGCACTTCTACAGGGTTGTGGCGTTGAGATAAAAAAGTAAGAAGGCCTTCGCATTAGGGGCCGGGTGTTCAGAAGGTGAAGGGAGTTCTTAATGGATGTGCTTGCCGGAAAAAGACGTAGACGACCGCCGTTAACTTGATGGATTTGCAAATGTGCAAATTTAGCAATTGGTCAATGAAGAATTGAGAACATAAACTTTTTTCAGGATTTAAAATAAATATAAAGAATCAGCTTAACCTCTCGACCCCAACCTTAAATTGTGGTTAAACTCATCAGAGATTGTGTGACTATCGAGTCGCTTTATTTAACAGGGTTATGACACAAATTTTTTTTGTGTAAATATTTAGCCTATCATATGTACAAACCAATTCCGATAGCAGTAAAATTTCAATGAAATTAAAACTCGATTCTTTTTCGGCCCCTAAAGCGCTCTTAGTTTTTCTTTAAAGTGTCGCGTGGACTGGTAACGAATTAGCGGATGATGACTCGTAGAAAACTGTGAAACTCTCCGTAGACACTTACAAATCTCTTACATCTCTTGTAATTTTGTATCAGTCAGCGGCGGTTGAAATACTCTTGAAATATTTTCCGACAGCGATTTATACCTACTTACAGCAAGCTCTACAGAGAGTTTTGATACATCGTACACAAGAAGTGAAGAAGAAATGGAAGTTGCGCGGCGCACGGTTCAACCCTACGAAGGAGAACAGCTTGCATCAAACGAAGATTTCAAAGAAGACTGAATAAGACAGTTTCTCGCCTGCGGAGTCCAGGTCAAGAACAAAAAACTCCCATTACTGAACGTTCAGTTTGTTGCGTTTGTGTTTTATTTTCTACGGCGAAGTCTATGTTAAGAACTAGAATGGGCAGCTGTGTTTATTTCTGTTGCCATAATATTTTATCCTTCCCACAAAGTGTGGCGAAGGTTCCCCATGGTCAGTGCTCTAGAGTTTCGTTGCTGTAGAGTAATTCCCTTAGTAAACCACAAGCTAACTTTTGACGAAAGAATCGGCTGTATCACGAGGCAAGATGGTTTTTCGCCGAGAAGTCATCGGGCAGTTTCACTGAAAGTTGCTCTTTTCCTCAGAGATTGCAAAGCCAGAGGCTATCGTCGTCGAGGCGCCGTTCAAACGGAAAACGAGTGAGTTTATAGTCATCTGATACAAGTTAATATCAAATATGGATTTTATCAGAGAGAAACCGCTTTAGTTTAAGTGCAGCATTGCCATACGACCCATTTCGCTCAATGGCAAATAACTGACATCAGTATTGTAAATGATTGTTTCGTGTGTATCGACTTTTGGACCGGTGGATCAATGGGGCAATCAGTCAACAAAGCATGGATTTTCAGGATTTCATTGAAAACAATATTGAGGTAATTTGAAGCTGCAACTGCAAAATTAAAGTGTATTGGAAACGAATCCCTTTCTAACGAAAAAAGCCAGATGAAGGGCAGCGAAATCAAAAGTACTTTGATTGGAAAAAGGCCCTTAAAAACACCTTAGTAAACAATGCATTACGATTACTAAAAAAAAGTGTTACATGTAAAAACACGTGAGCCTAATGGCCGTAGATTAGAGTCCAGTCCGTTGCGATTTCGGTAACGCAATAACTTTCACACAGCACTTGGATTCTCTATCATCTATTTGAATAAAATTTGTGTTTCTTTATTTACCTCGTTGAAATGCTGTCATTACATTGACTTAGGTTAAGAGATTACACGGCCGGCCCCTTCAAGCTCGTGTTTATGCTAGTTCACGCAACAGGATATTTGTCAGGTCAGGATGGGGCTCGAACTTTATTACAAATTATGTATTTCTGGTCACAAACTACGAAGGAAACTACAACTGATAGGATTTTCATACGATGAGAAAAGTGCAACTGCAGTCATGTGGAAAGACAAAGGGTATGAGTACATCTCATGCGCGTGAAATAAACAACAATAAGGAGCTTGGCTTGCGACATGTCAGCCGAAAAGAATGTTGTACAATCGATCACGACGTGGGAAAAGGCTCCTTAATCAGCATTCTTTTAAGCTGAACTCATTAATTATCTTCCCCTAATTTGTTTAATGGTATGTGTTCGTAACAGCTGTCTTCGAAGCCGGTACGGAGCGTAAGGCCGACGACATTGAGGAGTAAAATCTCCTCGGTGTCGAAGATCGGAAGGCGTCCATTTGGCCATACAGCTACATTCTTTGGAAAGAAGTGTATAGAAATAGCCGCTATATGTGTATTATTGTTGTAGCTAACATCTTACGGCGCTCCGGCCACGCAATACGTTCGTCCCATCTTCTACATTTCATCTCTCTCTCTACCATAGTTGCCGACGTTCCTTCACACTTTCCTACGTCACAACGATGTAACATGGTCGTTTTGGCCGTGCGCTTAATGGAGACCCTTTTTGGCCGCCAAATGTTACTTTCAATGAGCAAAAAAATGGTCAAGGAGAACTCGTTGGGCGCCAAGGTCGATTATTTCTAAATTTATATACAACTGTCAACCACAAAATGCAAAAAAAAAAGACGTGTTAAAGGCACATTAATTAAACCTCCTTAAAAGTAATAAGAAAACTGGCTGGTATTGTGAGGAGTGAAGCGCAACTTGATCCTCACCGATCGTTGCTTTTCACCAAAGTAATTTCTTTCCATCCTACCAACAGCTCTGTTTGTTGTCGAATACCTTCCTTTACAGATTGACCTCTAGACGCCCGATTGTGGTTAAACTCATCAAGGATTATGTAAATATCGAATTAATTAGCGTAACCACTATGCATAACCATGAAAGCAACAAGAGAAGTCGATCTGTTATGATGACGAGCAAGACGCGACTTTATCTTGATGATCAATGATTTTCTCTAAAGTAGTCTCATTCCACCCTGCTTACAGCTATGTCTTTTGTCGAATACCGAGTTCTTCTGTATCGGTTTAGCGAGGAAATCGATTGGCAAACTCAACGAAGAAAGTTGATATTTATCCTCAGAGCTTACCTTTCTGATGGCTCGGAAGGAGGTATCACTGACATGGATTCGTTACTTACTATGCTGGAGGAGAATAGTATTCTTGGAATTGATCGTCTTAATGTAATGAAGGAACTACTAAAGGAGATAGGAAAGTGGGATCTTCTTCGCAGAATAGAGCGATTTGAAATTAAGAGAAAGGACTACAAACAGTTACTGGAGAAGATAAGTCACGCACTTGACGAGTCCAATGAACTGCAACGACTCATTTCAATCTGCAGAGGAAAAAATCTGATAGCTCGTGAAAGCGAAGAAGATATCGTCGATGTCAATGCATTGTTCACAATGCTAGAACAACAGAACAGTTTTGGCATAGAGGACCTCACTCTCCTGAAAACTTTAGCAAACGAGGTGGGGAAACCAGATTTGTGCAGACTACTAGAGGAGTTTGAGAAGAAGAGAAAACAGGAAGAAGATGCTGAGCGAGAGGTACGGAACAATTTCTAACCGAAATTCTTTCTTTTTTTCTAAACATTTCATCAAATTTTCTTGGCCAAACTTTGATTTGAAATCGAACATGGCGAGTGGAATTCTTGGTTTTTGAGTTAGTGAAGTTGTCAGACTTAAATTTAGTGTCTTTTCAATCGACTAAGAACTGTGAAATCAGAAGCTAAGCTTGCGAAGATTTGATTTCGGACTATGTTGCTAACACAAATGGATAGTCGTTTTCACTTACCTGTATGGAAAATTGAAACCCTCGACCTCACATGGTCGCTCTACCAATTGCCTAGGTATTGCTTCCCAACTCGATATTCCTACAAGGTTTTAGCTTAGTTTTAGGCTCACAGAGTGAAAAAAGTGCAAAATATATCTATGTAGTTCATTGTAATGTTATTGATGGGGGTACACCTTTTCATGTGCACCCTTTTGAAGGCATCGATAGAGTGCTGGTAAGACATGTTGAGACAATATGGCGGCCGAAAACACTAATTTCGTTCCAGGGCCTCCTCTATGTTATTTTCAAAAACGGCGAGTCGCTGGCAAGAGTTAAAGGAGAAGTTTGCTCCACTTAGTAAGTGGTGTTTACATCCTTTGTGCAATTTGCTAGTTACCGCGGGTTGAGACTCCAACGAATCAACAAGTGCTTGAAATTTGTCTTTATTTACGCTAAAAGCTCATCTATGGACGTTTCTACTTTCAAAACACCTTGATAACCTGGTCATCCACCCAAAAAAAAAACGTGAGATTTACAAACAGCTCTTGAAAAGTTATCGCAAAAGAATTGAGTCTAAAAAGACCTTTTTGTAGCTTTCAGCTCCAAGAGATGCAAGGAGTGAGATTTTACCCCACTTCTGATCACTTAACCATTAACACCCTAACATCAGCTTACATATTCTCCTTTCTGTTCTTCATACATTTGCTATGGCACTGACAAGAGGAATTTAGTTAATAATCAAGAGCTTCTCAAGGTTACGATTATTTTCTTAATTTATGGGCGAAATGATTGATTCAGTGGTCACGCCTAATTTGGAAATTAGGTGCTAGTTACCCTATGGGTCTAAAGTGTTAATATACCAGTGATCAAATGGACCTCCAAACCGTAATTCTATGCCAGGAACATGAAAAGTCTGCGAAGTGAAGTATTTAAACAGATCGATGTTCAATATTTCTCTCCCTGTATAGTTATTAATACAAAGATTGTTTTCTTTCACATTCAAGCTCAGGCCGCTTCTGTTCTTTTTGGTGGTATAAACATAGGAGAAAGATTAATAGGAGGTAAGACAGTGTTAATTAATCTTGCTGAGAAGCAAAGCCAAATTACGTGGAACCTAAAATCTGAAACAGTTAAACCCGCGGACAAAGTGGTTTTAACAGGCTCACACTACTAGAGTCTTTGCGTGGTTATTACATACTCAAAACTAATATTATCATCCTTACCAGAAAGCAATGATAAGAACCAACAAAGAAAAAGACATTTTCTTACTATCTACTACTGAAATAAACATGGAAATTGCTTACTCTGGACAATATTCTTTAAAGTGCTTTCCTTGAAAAATCTTTTACATTTTTTTTTTTGCTGTGATCGAAAAAGAATAGTTTGTGTCTATAGTCAATCCAATTCTCTTTATTCATAAGCTTCCTTGTCGTCTGTCTCAGTAACATATAACTTTCGAAAACAGCAATCCACTCAAATCTAGTCTTTGTTAGGCTCTCAGTTGCTGGAGATAAGCAAAGAAGTAGGAAAGCAAAATATGCGAGGAGCCTGTGAAGGAGTACTCTCTCCAGCCAACTCTCCCCAAACGTTTGTTTCTTTGGCTAGGCCCTTTTTTTCGGTCGACTCCACAAGCGGCTAACGTAACCCTATGATTTCTACATTTTTTACAAGTTGTCACACCTCACTGTACTTTCCGCAATGTTACTGGTGGTGCTGTGGTCGTAACTACATGGATGGTCCTTCGCAGGAGTCCCAGTATGGAAGCATTTGTCAATGCTTTCAAAGAAGCTGTTCTTCCATTTGGAAATTGCTTGCGTGCAATTAGTGAAGGATCGATCCGATTTACGCTTCAAGCAGAAAACATTTCCGCTCTTGACGCACTTTGGCAAAGTTATCAAGACGAAACACTACAAACAAATTTACAAGAGTTTCTTGTTACTGGGAAAATAAAGCAGCTGGCAGGTGGTGAAGTAACGTTGACTGTGCACATCGACGAAGATGAATACAGAAATGCTGTGTTGGATTTGATGATATCAGGAACAGAAGGTAATTACACCTTTAATAGTCCCGCCATTATGCATAACCCCTACTGCGAGATGAATTAGAAACGTCTCTTGTTATGGCTATCAATGGGACGAATCACGGAATCTAGAAGATGTGATTTGAAAATTAAAGTTGTTGTGTTACAAACCATATTTTTTTTCTCGTATGCGACTTATTACTTCACGAGACTGAAAATGCACCAGCTCATTTATTAGCCTCCAGTTTTATTTTCCAGCTGATGTTTCCTGATTTAATCTTACCTTTAATCTTATCTCTTTCATGAGATAACACTATTTGATTGAAATTGCATCCAATTGTGGTGCGAATAAAGAGACAAATTTTCGTGTTGACAAAGGACAAATATACGCTTAAATCTCTAGCCAAGCGGGGTTGAGGAAAGTTACCAGGTGAGTTTTCAGAAAAATTATGTTTTCATTTAGTTTTTTCGTCTCTTTTCCAAGACATCATGCACTACGCGTTATCATTATTGTGCACGAGTTGATTATAATTATCTACATAGCTGGAATTCCTTTGTTCTTTCCGGAGGGGACTCGATCTCAATACTTCTAAATTATTTGATAAGCGCTCTTTGTTCGCTAACGCACTTCCTTGCCGCTAACATAAATTGTTCTAAGTCCAGATATTTGGGTTTGCAAAAAGATCCATAGTGCAGAAATTGAAACTGTAGACCTGGTATATTTCCTTTTTTTCAGCCAGATCTGTCGTGTGGGTTTAAAGAATACCTGTGAGTCGCAACATCACTTTTTGTGTTTGTTTGGTCGAACAACAGATTGAGTTGGGAAAGAGTAGTTGCTCATAATCGATCAAAATTTCTTTCTCTTCACGTGACAACAGGTTCTCCAATTGATTATCGAATGACATCCGTAACTCTTCCGCGAAAACAGCCCTGTGAGATAAAAAGCGCTGACTTCAAATGGGTCGATGTTGCTGTTTCTAAAACTCATTCGAAAAGCAAATTTGAGATGGGTTAAAAAATGTAATTTCCAGAAAACTTAGTAGCGAATGTGGCCAAAAATCGAGCATGTTCAAAATATGGTGGCAACAGCCAAAAATTCAATTCGGCTCATATTCTCAAGTTAGGTAGGCTGTAGAGAGAAACAAACCACTGCATACATCGTTTGGCTGAATATTGTTTTATTTTCGAGAAAATTGACAATAACTAAATTCTACTCAAAATGCCGCATTTGAAGCACAAAATTGCAGGCGAATCTCGGAGCGTCGCGTTACAAATTAAATGAAGCCTGGACGGATAAAAGTACCAAATCGCACATAGGTTTGTTTACTTTGTTTTTTCTGGTAAAATCTGGATTTTTAGTATTTTAGAAGTGAGTGTGAAAATTCTGGTCAGACCAAACAACAGGCGTGTCAAATCCGTCATCACGCATCATCTACGCTTTACGATATATTGCCAAATTCATTGATGGCTTTAGACCCGACTATACCTGAGGGGGATAGATCACTGCTTATTCGGCTAGCTTCTTGGGCAAGAATATTAAATATCTAACAAGCAGGGATTATTCTTTTAAAAGCCGCTGTTTCAAATATACAATATCAGCACAATTCACACTCAGAAGACATGTATTTTACGCTAGGTCCCTGATGTGAGGTATACCGACCCACACTCGATCCTGCTGTATCAGTTGGTGCAACGGATTATTCTTTGCGTTTCTTGAGTTTCGTGATACACAGAAATATTTCATAACCGAACGTAAGTTGTTTTGGACCACCACCCGGAAAAGATAAAGTGAATGTAAGAACGTGCTACCTGAGTCGTTGTTTAACTACCGGCACGAGTGACTTCACAAGGCGTGGTAGCCTCTGGAGAAGTAGTTTAAATATAAATTTGTGGAACGCTGGATGGTGCAAAAATTTCAGTGAAATTTTTGGTTTTCCAGTTGTGATTTTGACCCTTATACAGCTCTCTTTTAAATAAAGAAATATTCTGTCATTGCAGTGATGGGCTATGCCCTTTGAAGATCTATCGCTTTATCCACCTGAAACAATAATTGAAAAAATACCATGATTCATTAAATCATGATACGTTTAACTATGACCGGGGTTAGATGATTGCATACTCCTGTTTCGTATATTTAAAACTTGACCTAAATTCCCGAAGCCACATATTTCACAGGCCAATGAACTATTTTTGCCGAGTTGTCGATGCTAGTAGATCTCTTTTTGAATTATTGGCGTTATTCCTCACACGAGAAACATGTTTCCGAACATTTTCACAACATTCCGCTTACATTTGGTTCGCAGTTCGGTTGAGTACTTTTATTTAAACAAATATCTCTTTCGTGAAGTTATTAAAGCCTCCTTTTCGAGGGAATAGAGAAACCCCGAAATACGTTTGGTAAGAGTATGTTCTGGACGCGTTGACTATCCTGCCAAGTTATTTTTCTTTTATGTGAACGATGCAACAGTTTATGGACCGTAGCCTTCTTCTTCAAAACAGCAACATGAAAGGTAAGATTTTATGTTAAATAAGCTGTAGGCTGGCAGTAAAATGCGAAACAGTGGAGTTTGCGTGTGAATGTGTGCATTTTCGACTGATTGACGGCAACGTCGGATCGGCGCATTTTATCCAACTTAAAAGTTTGATTAAATCGCGCTGAATTATTTCCCTAAAAATCCTTTGGAAATCTAAAAGAACTACACTTTGCCTTCCAAAAGCTAGATTTTCAGCTATTTATTTTGTGTACCAAATAGTTAGATAATGGTTACTTTTTGACCTATTTTTTATGTAGTTAAAAGTTGGTCGGACAAATTTAATTCGATTTTGTAAATAAATGGTCAAGAGTTGCTCAAATTGCTGACAACATATATTTTAATGCTGTTTTTTAAGATTTGATACTTTTAATCGGTTCAGGTTTTTTCAATTTGTGACGCGACGCTCCGAGATTCGCCTGAAATTCTGAGCTTCAAAAAGTGGCATTTTGACGGAATTCAGTTATTATCGACTTTCCCGAAAATAAAACGATATTCAGCCAAACCAAGTATCCTGTCACTTATTTCCCATTGAGACCCACTAAAATTTGAAATATGGGCGAAATTAATTTTTCAGTTGTTGCCACCAAATGTTTGACCATTGGTAACATCCGCTCTTAAGTTTCACCTACCTTGTGGGTTATTGCTTACTAGCATATCATTTATTTCCGAGAGCTTGATGACTATCCAAATAAGGAAGGATGCTCAATGTCTCATTTCTCTTTTGCAAATGATGTAGAGCGCATCGCCTCATTCAGCATTATATATACAGCATATTTGACTATAAATTTTAGAGATGAAACTTGCGGAAAAAAGAGGATTAAAAGATCGAGCAAGTTCTGATTCAGACCTTCTGAAAGAACGAAACATGACCACAGCCAATACAAAAGATCCTTTTCCAGAGGGGAAATTCTTACCATTTGACAGAAAAGTGCGTGTAGAAGAATATTTGGAAAATCTTCAGGAGACCTTCAGCGAAATCACACTACCGAGTGATAGCGGAGTAGGGACCTGGAGTAGTGCTACTTCTGAATGTGGATTTGACAAAGGTGAAAATGATAGCTAGTCTCCACCGAATGATAATTCTTGATAGAATAGGTATGAGTTGCTGAGAACTATAGCTCGACTCTCGCCGAGTTCCCATCATTGAATGTCTTTCCCTCACGGCTTCGCGAGTCAATTGTAATGTAGCCATAAATGTTGATGTCAGATATCCCAGTCTTAGAAACCTTGCTTCCGTGTTCATAATCATGTTGGTTACTTGGGGAAACGCCAGTATCCTTGCATAACTGGCCTTTTACTTTGATAGTAGTTGGGTGTAAAGAATGTCTCGAAAAAAGGTAGCCCAGGTGTGAAAGTACATCCTCCAACACTCACTCGAACACGAAGGACAAAGTCAAAAAAGATGCCTGTGACAGAAAGTATCGCAGTATCGTAATCTATGATGTCACCTCTTCCCCACTAACACCAAACCAAGTTTGAAGGAAAGCAAGGCTCTTAGCACCCTCTCGATCAAGCATGAAAGCTCATCATGGCCAGTAACGTATTAGGGTAACACTGCCTTTCACATTAGCAATATTCTTTCATTAATTCAGCATAGGTTTAGAGACCCTGAGTTCCTCAGTGAACCACCATATACCTAGGTGATGCCACTCCCTCAGAATTACAAGATAGCCGGAGTCTTGTCTTGTCTTTATCAACGTGACAAGATAAATGCTTTTGTATTAAGCCAGGTCCGTGAATTTAGGAATGTCTTTAACAACAACAATAACAGAGAAATTGTTTTTCGGTTTGTTACGAGGAAAAAGAAACAAGTGTACTACACCATGAGGAATCGAGTCTCACATATTTGCATTCCAAGGCTCAGATCCTGCACTGAGACTCTGCGATGAGTTAGGCCATGAAGTGGTTGGAAACTTAGATTTCTTGCATTTCTTTCTCAATTTCTTTACCGAGTTCAGATCTTTTCTTCATTCTCATTCTGTTCATGAATCCTCAGGAGACACACTTGAAAAGCTCGACCAGGTTGAAGGTTTAATCAAAGATGCCGTTGAGAACTGGAGCAGCTTTCAGGAAGCATACAGAGATGCACACCCATCCGAAGGTTATATGATCGATTAATTACTTTCAACGAATTAATCGTACTTTTAATTAAATCATAAGTTGATTGACTTTCAAAACTGATACTATCACAGAAGATACAAATTTTCTTTAAAAAAACTATTATTCGAACAAAGGGGTATCCAGATGAGAGTTTAATACTGGTTTGATATTCTTGTGAAAAGGAAATTTAGCGCCTCTTCTTTCTGTCATATTTAGCCGGATAGCCATGTGTGGTTGTGAGTGATAATCGATTGCTTGCTTTTAAGATCAGTTACCAGATGAGAAATTGATTCATCATCTTTCTGCGATGTAATGTGTTTAAAATAGCCTTTGTTTGCGTAATAGCAACAACATAATAAAAAAAAAATTATGTAGCGCAAATACTGTAAATGTATTCAAAAGCGCTCTACACTAAATACTACCAGATTCACACATGAAAAACCCACGTTATATGTTTCTGGTACTACAAAATATTGAAATAAAAGCTTTCCTGAAAAGAATCGTTCTATAGTTAGTTCTTAAAAACCGCGACGCTTTTACAAGTTGTAATCGGTAATGGTGGTAATTTCCATAGGACAGGAGCAGCATGAGTGAGGAACGATCCCCAAGTGTAGAGCAGTTGACTCGGAAAGGACGAATAGAAGAGCATAATTAGCAGCTAATGACAATAGATCTGTGATGTAGGGTGGAGTAAGACTGTTTTACGAATTGGAATCCATTCTGTTTGGTATAAATTTTTAGACTAAGAAATATTTCATACTCAATTTCTTTCTAGGACGTGCATTACATGGTGTAGCGGAAGAATTTAAAAGGATCAGAATCGCTTTAAGAATCTTTAAAAAGATGGAAAAACTGTGGTTGAATGCAGGTCAGTCTCATAAAAATTAAACGGTGGACTCTGAAACAGTCACCATCAGTTAATTTAGGGATGGTATTTTATTATGACAGAGTGGCTATAGGTTATACTATGCAATGTTATTTATTTATCGATTTATTGGGAGGACCTGATCGAGAGCCAAATATTTTCCCGTCCAGCCCGGCAAAGCTTAGTCAATAAGCATTTTATAACATGATCACTAAGTGTTGAAATTTTCAAAACTCTTTTTTTTTCAACTTAAACAGGGTGTACTTGTGTACAAAAGAAGGGCGGTACCTGGACAACTAATATAAAGATTCTACTGTAAATAACTTTCCCTTTTTTTCGACATTACAAAGCACTTACGATTGAGGACACTCTTTATGAATGATATCTTATATTTAGTATCGCTGTATATTTATTTGCGTTTGTATCTAAGCAAACACGTTTATTTAAAAGAATATTTTCAAATGACAGTATTTTTGTCAAAAAACGAAAACAAAACAACAACAAAAAATAATTATTAGTCAACTTTGAATATAAAGTTTTCTTTTATCTCCAGTTAAGCCTGTCAATCTGAATTGGCCAGTGGATGAACGTGATTACAACCAAATACTTATTTCGTATTTGGTCTGGCTGAAACTTGCACTTTTTCAGAACTTGAAAGCTCACTGTATTGGCACAGCATAAAAGACCCTGTTAAATTTCATTCATTCCTCCTCTGGCAGTTGATTTACTTGAACTTACATCTGGCCCCTTAGAGTCAGTCGGCTTTTTATTGAAATAAGTCTACTGATTTTAAAACACCTAAAACAGCGAACTCTGATTTGAACAATTCATGAGCAACCATCAGATTTCTCTTAGACAGTTTGCGTCAGTATCGTGGTTAATTATTCTGCATCTTTTATGTTGCACTGTAGAACCTATTTTGACATCGTCAAGCAATACTCAAGCTGTTATAAAACAATTGGAACACTCTCTAAAGCTAAATCAAGGCTTTTTCAAAAATCCAACCAGAGAGGACAAAAGGGCTATCCGTGGCTTGGCAAGAAAAGCTAAAAATTTCAGAAGATTCGACGTTTTCTATAACTTAAGAAAGATTACACCACCAGGAACAACAGGTTTGCTGTTAAATATCATTTCCTTAACTTCTTCTTGTTAACAAAAAAGTCAGAAGGACTTTAACATTGAACTCTCTTTAATCCGCGAAATTCAGATAGAAAATAATTTACATAACACAAGCAACACTTTTAAGTTTGCAATACATGGTTGTATATTACTCATGTCATGTTCAGTTGCAAAATAATATCCTTGTTACTATTTGAATTTGAATTTGAATATTCGTTAACTATTTGAATAAAATACAACGGAAGTGCAGAAGGGAAAAGTGGTATTTTGAAGCGACCCAGGAAAAACCAAAACAGAAAATACTTTCCGTTAAACCAATCTCCCACTAGCTTGCTTTTAAAAGTTTTGAATTAAGAATAGACTCGGTGGGGGAACCATTTATGACAAGGAAAATTCTTTCCCTGGCGTGGCGGTGACAGTCATCATCTTTTCCTCTGTAAGCCAGACAACAAGCAGCCTCTGTTGCTAACCAGTTGTGGAGCGTGGAAGGCGATCGAGATGTTTACGAAATGACTGCGGGAAAACTGGGTGACTGGTCTTCTCGCCTAACTGCCTAAGAAAAAAAGTACTAACTGGGTGGCGTTGCTAAGGTTAATGATCTCGAAACAAACGCACCATAGTGAAATGAATTTATTACGTTTCGCTCAACAACAGCTGAAAAGATAGAGTTCGTCGCAATAAACAACAATGTTCAAAATTTCATGTCAACACAGCGAAAAAACGCGAGCGACAAGCAACACACGTGATGAAAGAATCAGCAATGATAATTGAGGGGAGGAGGTAGGGGTCGTCATGAATTCCATAAATCATAGTTTCGAATCATTTGACTCGTGTGGTCGAGCCTTTATTACGATTCTTCGTTTGTGTGAGAAGCCATTGAGTCAGTATTTATTCCTAAGACAATTATTCTTTTCATTCAGGTCCTTGGTTAACTGATAACTTGCTCATCGTGGACATCCCCAAATATATAAAAGAAAAAAATTCAAAACTTTTGGGACGTAAGTAAAGTTTTGTGAAATAGTTGCCCAATACGAACGCCTATATATAAATGCATTTGTACAGTGGTCTGTCTCATATTCCCGGCCATCGACGTTCACGAGGAGCCATTTCATTAAGATGTGGCTGCTTCCGCCTGGAAATTCCATTTGCGACCTAATAGCAAGCGGCCGAGAGACATATTCCCTTTGTAATCACTTTTATTAAACCAGTAAACATGTGGAGTCACCCCATGTCATGTAATAGACTCGTTTGCACATGTTTTCAGTCTCATACTTTGTATCGCTTCTTTGTTTCTGTTCACCAGGAAAACAATAGCCACGAGGCGTTTTGAAAACACACAAAAAGCTATATATGACCAAAAAAAAATGACAAAGCTTGGTCTTCTCGTTCAAATTAGAAATATTGAAGCAGCAGAAAAACTTATGTTATCACTAGCGAGTCTGGAATAGCGTCTCTACTTTCACCCCTACTCCACATGTTCAGTGCATCACATAGACCCATACTAGAAATGAAACCATACTACAGATATGTTATTCTTTTTTCATTACAATTGGTCCATGAGTATATCCCTGCTAGCAGTTCATAAAGTAAGTCACTCATAAAACTTGATGGTCTAGTGGGTGTTCAGTAAGAAACAAGTCATAATTCGTGACGTACAACGAAGGTGAATGTTTGTTTTCTTTTCTTTAGGGACATATTTGGGGATGCCGTATCGAAGGGCGGGACCAAGCGACATGAACTACCCCGAGAGCACTACCATACTCGATCTTGTCGCTATGCGATACAAGTTAAGAATGGTGGGTGAGCTGTATGACTTTCTATGTGAAAGGGGGTTCTCTAACTTAGCCGATTATCTTTAAATATCTCAATGCTACCAGCCCGCGAGAATCTCTCGATTTCATTTTTTCTTACTCTATCCTATGAGATGATGAATCAGCTCACCCTTACCACAGGGGACAGATAATTTGCTGCTAAAGTCAGTCATTCTGACAGGTAGAGTTGGTTATTATAAAAAAGTATAATGTCACTATCTGAAAGTAATTTAGTACTACACATCATTAAAGTTGACATTAACTTTTCCCTCATTAGGAACTTACGTTAGTTTTCTAACCGACGCTAAAAATCATTACCTATAATTAATATCGTAAATAGTACTTATCTTTGAAATGGTAGTGACAGCAAAATTTCATGTTAACACGGTGTTGAAGCTCAAAATTATTTTTAAGGATTTAATCAAACTCCCTACACTTGCTGGAAAAAAAACCAAAAAAACTGTTGTCAAAGTCAAACCTGCTTTACAAGGATACTGTGTCTATTAATATTGTACTAAAAAACTAGACGACCTCAGTTCTAAAAATAAGTTTTCTCAATTTCATTTCAAACTCACTTAAGTATTTGGACTGTTTGATTTATTTCTGTTCCAAGGCACAGCCCTGCTAAAGATTAAACTTCGTTTAAAATGATTAAACGAGTGTTATCTTTGACCCAGTCATATATATATGAGTTGTTGTATGTTCAAACCAGAGGGTTGCAAGAGTTTTTTTTCTGACCAGGAATTACCAAGTGCTAGTTCATGGATATATTTGACCAAAAGTGAAAGAAAAGAGATGAAAAGTGCCGTACTTTATCATTTCACTGACATTCCGGTGAAGGTTCATTCGAAGGATCTGGTAGCTTCAATCCTCGAAAAATATTTCAGGACACCAACGACATAACAGCTGAAAATGATCATATTTGTAACCATGTAGGCAAGATTACGCCCTTCTCCGTTAGCAATCTTGATTAAAATCCAAGCCGCTGCAGTTGGTTTCAACATTGCTTAAAGGGTTGGAGGAAAGTTTAGAGAGTCGTAATTAGAATATATATATATATATATATATATATATATATAAATGTGAAGGTAGAGTCTACCTTGACATAAAGTGCTCAATGCTGTGGTAGCAGAGCTGAGTATATATAAGTGAAAGAATCAATGAGGACGCATCGATTCTCTGTTACTCTGAGTTTCGCGCCTAAGCGCTTGTCAGACAGAACTTTATTCAATGAAGAACCTACCTCCTTATATACAATTTAGATAAGTAGCTAATTAATTCACTAGTGTAATGATGTGATCTACGTGTGAAATAAAGATTCTATAGAGCTATTGTTGGCGGCTTGTGAAATTTGCTAAGTAAAACTTATTCTCGTGGCGGCATTTAGAAATGAGTTCTGTTCTTTTGTTTAATAAAGACGACTTCTTAGCTCTAACTAAATAAAGTTTTTCTGTGAGGCACAAGTGGCACCGCTTGCGTTTGTTGCTGTAGGCCGGGGCGGTCGCTAAAATACTCCAGTTTATTGTGAAATTGGTGTTGCTGTCTTTGAGCGTCCAGATATGCTTTGATAGCTCCGTGCTGTTTGAATAGTTTCTGTTCCGAAAAGAAAGTTTGTGTTGCTTGTAACGTTGCTTAAAAGTTCCTTCAGTTAGTCCAATGTAATTCTTTCCGGTTGTGTCATTTTCTGTTGTTACGTTGGCGTTGTAGACGCTGCTTGAAGTGAGGCAGTTGATTTTTAGAGGACAGTCGTTTTTTTTTCCTGCAGTTACAGTTGTTTTCCGTGGAGTGTGTCTTGCTTGTCTCGAGGATTTTTCTGTTTCTGATTTCTGATTTTTCTATATATATGTATATATATATATATATATATATATATATATATATATATATATATTTTTTCACGACAGATTAAACACATATTTCCTAAAGCCTTTTTCTCCAAATAAATTTTTATCAGAAAGGCAGGTAACAGGTCGAAACGTCAACTTTTTTTACCCTTTACGGTGGCCAATTTACGTTTTGAACTCAGTTGTTAACACTAAATTACCTGCTATACTCTCCCACCGACGCAGCACCACAGTTTCTGTAGAAACCAACCCCCTTTATTCATTTGATCAGAATAGTAGGCGTTCGCTGGGTAGATAACAACAACTAAACTCAATCTGCCTTTTTATCAGGTGCAGTTGAATAATGTGTGAAGTTTTCGATGCGCGTGGAGGCTTTTAGGTCAGCAGAATTTAAGAAAATACCTTTAAACACTGTGTTACCGGCATCAGTAAAAAGCAAAAATCAACCCTGATTTGCACACTTTTCATAAGTTAATCCTGATATCTATGACTGTAAAAAAAATTTTACCGATTGGTTCGCCTTTGTAGAAAATAAAGATTAATTCAAGAACAATCCTTCTCGTGCGTTTGAGAGAAAAATTAGTTCCCAAGAATACCAGCGCATAATGGAAGAGAGAGGAAAAATTGATTCTACCCCTCCCCCTCACCGTCCCATCATCTTCTACGAGGGCCACACGTCAGCAAAAAATTCTGTCGCCAAATTAGGCTTTCAAAATGGTTTATCATCCAATAATAGCTCTCCTTGCTCACATGGGCGGGTATATGTTGAGAAAAACCTTCGTCGAGACAAGTTTCAGAATGAACACACTCATGATGTTGTAGGTCAAACATTCAAAGATGCTAGTTTGATTTTTTTTTAGTTTAACGTTTATTTGGCTCCACTATGGTTGAATATGTCATCGGTCTGATTGTGTCGACATCAAAAACTATTCAAAACTGGTGAGGCAGCAAATTTGAGAGTGATCTCGCTCAAAAAAAGCTTTCAACTACTACTTCAAAGAACTTGGGTTTTGGCAAAAGGATTAAACGGGTTTTGGAGGATTAAAGATTTATCTTCAATTTGCATAAGTCATATGGGATATTTTGAAAAGTAGAAGGCCTGTCCCTTAGCACATGAAAATGCAAAAAAATTCAAAGAGCGATTTTCTAAAAACCCCAACTACCTGCCAATGCAAGAGTAATCTTTACTCTAACTGAATCCGTTTTGCTTTTTAAAACATCGGTCAACGGGAACCACTATCCTTCTCAGAGTTTTTGAAGATTGACAGTCGTAGATGTACACAAAAATGGAGCGTTTCGGGCGAACGAGCCTTTGTCTTGAGCCCAAACAGTAATAAAAATAGTGCCCATCATGGAAACACCAGCATTTGAATTTTTTCCACGTTTGTCGCAAATTTAACCTTTGAATGCGTCATCTGGCCTTACAGGCCGTAATAAAAATATTAGCGACAAAAGCTCTTTCCAGAGGTTTTCGAAACCCAATACAAGTTTGTAAGTTCTCACCAGAGTTAAAGGATCTTCGGAAAGTGTTTATCAGTAATGTTCCTAAATATTGTCACAAACTTCGTGTTGGATAACTCCCTTTTGAGTCGTCCTTGATGGTAAATATATATTTTTTCACTTTAAAAAGAAAGATTTTAAGCGATTTGACCTTCCCACGAGCGGCAATCTGTTCCTGCTTGTTCAAATATTTGAACAAGGTTTGCGTAACTCAGATACGATGCCGAAGTTTCACGAGAACTTTTCTAGTTTTTTTGCAGCTGAGTGGTAGGTAGTGACAAAAGGCAAAACCTACACAGATGTAAGGTTTTTATGTTGTTAAACGGTTTCCCTCGATGAGAGCTTTGAGGTTGAATCTTCGAGAGGCGAAACGCCTATAAATGGGTGTGTTCTTGAAATCATAATGTTTCAACGGCTGGAAAAAAAATATATAAATATGTATATATATATATAAGACATGCTTGCTAAAATTTTAGAATGTAATAGTCTTTGTAAGAAATTCGGCGCAAATAACAATTACAGGTAGTAGCATTCTTAAGCTAGGTTTTAAAACCTGATATAATGAAACATTAGCACAAACAATAACTTGCGAAGCCTATGTTTCTTAATTAATTCCGCCCTAACAAGTACGCTTCGGCTCTAACATTACAGATCCATTTTTTTTTTCGCTACTGCAAGTAAATGTCGCAAGCTAAAGACAATAGGCATAAACATAAGCATATTAAATTCGATTCTGGGAATCTTGCGGTATTTTGAGAGGGGTTGCTATTATTGGTTCTTGGTTGTAAGGCTTGAATTCCTGAAGTCCTGAACCCATTCTGTGTCGGACGGCACCCTCTATTTTGAGAAGAACACCCGGGCTTTGATTATTTTATTTCAAAATATGTTTCTTTTGTTACGGTATAATCTAACCGACAGAAAAACACTACAATCCCACAAACTCAACTACTTTATTAAAGAGCGAGTAATGTTGTTAACAAGGAGCGACACCTAAAAGTATTATAATACTTATCGTTAAATAAAAACTAAATTAGCCCACCACATATCCCAGCTCACTACAGACACAATCTTAGTTTCAAAGTTCCTTGAAGTGAGCAGTTTTCTGCAGTAACTCTCTCTTAGTATAGGTTTCAAAACAGTCGTTGCTCCGACAACAACAACTTCTCCTACTATTACATAGGTGAGTCTTTATGGTGTTCTGGAACATTCCAGAAGCTCACATAAGAACTATTTTAGTAGTATTACATCATTAATGCGTGACTAGGTAAAATGTTCTGGAAAGACCTACGGTATGCAAGTCAGCATGACTCAGCAGTCTGGAGATTTCTAGAAACTTATATTTACAACAATTACTTATAACACTTTCGCAAAATAAAAATATATATAATTCTACACTTTCATTTGTTAAAAAAGTTTTAATTGAAACGTTTTTTGTCTTTGAACCTAAGTCATTAACACAAACTGCTTGATAAGACCTAATCACCTTTGCCTGACAGAGCTTAAAAATTAGATCTCAGTGAGTCTTATGTTGAGATGTGACGCTGGATCAATTGTCACGCGATTGCACCTTTATTTTAGTGATCCCTTCTATTTTTTCTCATTTTTAAGCACTTTCCTGGGATTTTTTTAAACATAAACATAAACTTAATAGGTATTTAAAGTGATGAAACGTTGTCAAACACACCGGATTTACATTGTTCATAA